AGAGGGAGTGGTGGTCACAGGGCCTCCAAGCTGCTCAAAGACCCACAGTGACGTTCTCTAGTGACCTGTATCGCTAACCCCATTTCAGTGGTTCCCAAACTGAGATGGGGTGAAGCGCTTCCGTCCAAAATCCAAGTGAGTCAGTCAATCAACGAGAATTCAGTCCTGGGTCCCAAGCTGGGCACCTTCAACTCCCTGGGGTTCTCCTTCCACACCCACTACCCCCGCGCACCTGCCCAGGCTGCACAGTTCACCTTGCCAAGGCCCTCCTCACAGGTCCACGGCCACTTTCACTGGCTTCCTGCAGGGCAAGTGGTGGAGCTGGCACTCCACACACTCGACCCCTTAGATCAGCCCACGGCAAGAGTCTCTTGTTACCTCATGAACTTCCCTGAAGGAAGATTTTCTTTTCCCTAGAACACTGCCAGTGGGCCAAAGACAAATCCAATTTCTCCAATTCAGTTATTTACACGCCTCTGCAGCCCGTCCTCTAAATCAGTTCTGGGTCTTTTGTTGTGTTTTTTAAAGACATGCTCAGCTCAGCTTCCCCACTAGCTACTGACAACTACACAGGCATATGTTGCACACTCTATAGAACGTTAACTCGGGTGGCTGGGTCAAGACGCCTACGAGAAGGCGGGTGTTCTGCTCAGAAGGTCAGATCTCCAAAGTGCATGCTGCTGCTCTGCCCAGGTTGAGGGGTCTGAAGCTGCCACCCCCCCACATCCCCCCAGCAGGGAAGGGGGCCGTCAGGAGGTCAGGGACTGAATGTTCTTAAGCATCTCCTCGAAGGCCTGTGGGGAGGGTGCGTCCGCGTTCCGGAAGGTGGCCTGGACCCTGCTGTACAGGCTGAAGGATTTCAGCTCCAGCCAGATGAACCCGAAGCGGTCCTTGTCGAACAGGATGAAGACCCCGGGGGTGCGCTCGGGGCTGGTGAAGCCGTGGCCAGCGATGAGGCCCGTGCCGTAGAAGCTGAGCAAAAAAAAGAGGGGAAGCGGGAGGGAGAGAGGCGTGAAAGGGGCCTCGAGGTGCGTGTTCTGGCTGAAGTCAAGGACCCGGTCATCCTGGAGTGTTCTAGAACACCTTTCACTCCATGCGAGCCACTTTTCGTTCTTTGCCAGCAAGAAACTAAGAACCAGCAGGCAGTAGTCCCTAAGCGAGCCTGTCTTCCTAGGGCCCCTGCACAACTCTACACGCCCAGCGCACCGGGCCATCTGAGCAGAGTGGGAGAGCTGTGGGCATTTAGGGGGCGGATGTTCCCCTGCGTATGAGCAGGTGTGCTGGGCTCACACCAGACGGTTGGACTCACCTCGCCCATGGCTGCTGTCTACCAGCTCACCCAACTAAAGGAGGAGGGTCTCTGGCAGCCCTGCCTCATGACTCTGTCCCAAAGCATACATCTTCAGAACGCAGGCCCACGTAACAACATCTTAACTCCTGGGATAGTTATGTCAACATAGAACAACTCAAACATAATCAATAAAGACTTGTTCACGTGCAACTGACATTAACTCAGAAGGCAGGGCTTTCAAATACCCATCACGGCCAAGTTTCGAGATCGGCATCAGGCCGAAATACATTTATGTCCTTCTTTCAAAGAACTTGGTGCTTCAGATGGATGACAGGAAGTCAGGGACCGGCCTGAATCTCCCAGCACGTGGGATGGTACCCGAGACCCCCACCTCTGCCAGCCACACAGAGGCTCTGCTGGGCGGGAGAGGGGACAGCAGCCCTGTGCACGAGGCCTGTGGTTCACAGGGTTTCTTGGGTGGGGAAAGCAGCACCACAGCCCATAAGGAGGCAAAGAATGCTCACTGGGCTTAGAGAATACACAGCAGATGTCTCCTGCCCAGACACTGAGGCCAAACCTTGCAGGCACATAAACCAGAAAGGGAAGGCACGCAGCACGCCCCTCCCAACCACAAAGCCCGATATCCAGCATGGGAGTGGAGAACCATCCTGCAGCTCTGCTAGAGGGCTAGACCGAAGCTTCTGGGCTGGTCAGCCTCAGCATGGTGGTGACCCAGTGGGCTACCGGTAGGCCACGAGCTACTGGGAGCTGTCAACAGAGCCTTTTTCTTTTATGACCTTTCAAATGGGGATGTACTATACAGCATAAGAAAATACTCAACATTATCTAATAACTTTGTATGGTGACAGATGGTTACTAGGCTGACTGTGGTGATCACAGTGTAAGGAATATAGATGTCAAATCTCTATGTTGTACACCTGAAACTAATATAATATTGTAAATCAACTATAATAAATTTTGTTTTTAACTTTACAAAAGAAATTTACATCAGGTGAAATTACATTAGAATGCTATTTGTACATCTCCCCCCTTTGGAAAACCCAAATTCATCCACTTTTATCATAATTCTATAACATGAGGAAAATGTGATGAATTTTTTGTGCCAAGCCCATGTAAACACCTAAATCCCATTCAGGTAGCTCAGTATGCTATTCACGCTGTTAGTCTGTATGTAAAGACCCACTTACATCCCTGCTGGCACATGAGATAGCAGTCGGTCCAGATGTAAAGCAAAACAAACCTTTATGTACAACTGGACAAAAGTGGAGACAGTAGGCTGTAATGCCAAGACTGACATATTATTCCCTCAAAATGTCCGCTAGGGCAACTTTCTAGAACTTTCTGTGATGATGGAATGTTCTAAACCTGCATGTCTAATGTAGTAGCCATCAGCCACGTGTGGCTACTGAGCACTTGACATATAGCCAGTGTGACTGAAGACCTGAATTTTTAACTTGATTCATTTTAGTTAAACTTAAATAGCCCTAGAGTGTAGGGTACTGGGGCGAGGGTCTTGTAATTCGTCTACCAGGGAATGGCCTGGATGGCGGGGGTGGGGCTGAGCGGCTGAAGGCAGTGGCCTGAGACAACAGTGTAAGAATAGCAAGTCAGGCAGGGGGCTGGCGGCCTCGAGCAGGCCTTATCCCGGATCAGGGACCCTGACCTCTGCAGGGAGGGAAGCAGCAATGCCAGCCCCCTTCCACACGCTGTCTGGGCTGGGGTTCATGTCGGTGGCCAGTGAGGTGCTGGCTCAATGAGGTGCAGAGGAAGGCAATAACAGAAAGGAAAAAGAAAAGACAGAAGGAGGAGAGAAACCATCAGGAAGAAACAACGGGCCGACGGTGGAACTAAGTTCACTAGGGCCTGGATGGAGAACCCACGACAGGCCTTGCCTGCAAGGCCATCCGGGGGAACTCCAAGCAGGCTTTTCACAGGGACAGGTGTGGGCAGGGGGCGAGTCCCCCTCCTCACTGTCTGCTTCAGTGCTGCCTGATGTCCTGCCTTATCTCCCTTTTACCTTAGGAACTATGCGACTTGAGGCATCTTGGAGGAGTCTTCATGCCTGGCAGTTCTAATAACCCCCATCTGAGGCTCCCCAAGGGGGTGAGAGCTGACTGTGCAGCCCCGGAAACAGTGCCATCCACTCGGGTCTGAGCTGGTGCATGGACCAAGCCGTCAGAGGCTCCCCACCCTGGTGCCGCAAGCCCCCATGCCGGCCTGTCAGAACCCGAGCCCACGCCAGCCCTGTCTATGCTGCGTGTGGAGGCAGGGCCCTCCCTGAAGCTCAGGCTTCTCCTGCTCTCAAGTCCTTACCACATCCTGCAGGTGCGGGGGTAGTCCTCATTCCTCGAGCTCACGCCCACGGGCAATACGAATGGCTGCCCCTGCCCGCACTGGCCAGGCTGCTCCTCCGCAGCCACAGCCCCGCCGTCCCCCGGCTCCTTGCCCTTCTCAGTGGGCGGCCCCGCGCTGGGCTGGACAGGACCACGCTGGGGCTCTCGGGGGCTCTGCCTGCTGTGGTCCTCGCCATCCTCGGGCCTGTCTTCCTCCTGCTGCTGCTCCAGGCGCACCTGCTCGCGAACCTCCAGGACGATGCGGGAGAGCTCGTTGAAGTTTCGGAGGTACTCAACGTCCGGCAGCTGGATGCGGTGCATGAGGTCGATCTCCACTGTCTGCTGCCCGGCAGGGATGTTGGGGTCACCCTGAGGAGTGAGTGTGCAGCAGTTGGCAGGGTGAGACCCGCAGAAACACGCTCTGCGCAGTTCCCAGCCTAGGTCCCAACTGTGGCCAGAGGAACTTGCTCCAGCTTTTCTAGTGACTTAGCGGTAACCCCTTGTGAAGTAAGATTTTAGAAGGCATTAAAAAGTTAGTACTTAGAGCAGGAGCCCCATCTGTGAGGGTATCTTTGAGGACAGGGAATGACAGCACCCACGAATGACCTGGTGAGGGCCTACAGGCACCCGGCATGGTGGCTCACCTGCAAAGACCTCGGGTGGGAACTATTGGATTGTCGGAAAAGTCATAATGTATTTTTTTCTATGTTTTTCGTTGCAAAATTGCATCATGACTTTTCCGAAACCCAATAGCTTGTGTGATAGTTGAAGAACTGGGGTTGAGAGAAGTTCATACCCGCCCAGGGTCAGGCAGCAGGCGGCAGGCCTATGATGTCAGCCCAGATCTGTCTGCCCGGAACAGAGACGCTCCTAAGCCTGAACCCAGGAGCTCGGTCTCCCTGGCCCTGCAGCTCTACAGAGCCAAGGTACACGCCACAGGAGAGCCCCACCTGACCAGAAACTTGGCCTTGCTTCTGGGTTCTCGTTTACAAGCTTTCCCAAAAGCAAAGGGACCCTGGCGGACCAAGGTACAAGAGCAATACTTTGTGAGGACTAGGGAGAGGCACTGCTTCTTCAGGATGCTTCAGTGCATCTGCCAGAAACGCACCCCAACAACTATGTAGATGACAGGTGCGCACAGCGTGAACAGTGGCCCCTGGAGAGGGCGATGCATGGTCTACTTGTTCAGGACCCCCACTCAGCTCAACAACCTTCCATCTGCTTGCAAGATCCGCTGAGGCCAGGAAAGGCAGTGGGGCCTGTGTGCCAACGCAGGGGATCTCAATGTGGCTGCCACTGGGGTCAGCTGGGAAGCTTGTGGAGCCCCTTACCAGCCATGACCCCATTAAATCAGAATCTGTAGGGTGGGGCCCGGGCAATCAGTGAGTTTTCAGCCTCCCTGGGGATCGCAGTGTGCAGCCAGGACTGCGAGCCGTGTGGAAAGCCACCTCGGAAGTACTCAAAATCCCCTGTAGATCCTGGTTCGGCGGGTCCAGGTGGGGCCTGAGGATCTGCATTCCCAACCAGCTCCCCAATGAAGTGGTGCCGTGGGTCTGGGCCCACTACGAGTAGCCAGGGCACAGCCCGAGTCACACTGCTCCACAGCCAACCTGATGAGGTCACGCAGGGCTGGACCTGCCGGGCGGACCTTGGACTCACCGTGATCTTTGTGGCCCTGGCACGCTTCCCATGGAAGCTGAGCATGACGATCTCCAGGCCGTGGCTGCCATAGGTGCCCTTGAAGAGGCCTGGCCTGATGAGGTCATCCGGGTGGCTGGGCGGGAGGTAGATGCGGCGGTAGGTCAGGCAGTTGCTGTGGGGGAAAGTGGGTGGCATGAGAGCACAGCAGAGCTGCACAGAGGGCAGCAGTGCAGAGCCCACACACCTCCCTGCTCTGCCATGGAGGGAGGGCAGGGCGGCATAGCATGGCCAGGCCAGTGGGGAGCAGGGGCTCTCCATGGTCCTGAGCCACACTCACCCTCACCCATGTGTGCATGGCACCCTTACACCTTCTCTCATTCCAACAGGGCTTAACAGGGGCTCATGGGTCTCTGCGGGGCACCCCAAGGCAGCTGGAGGGGAGCTCTCAGCAGAGTGAAGGGAATGTTACTCCTGTTCTGTCATCCTGGGACAGGAACCCGAGACTGCACAGAGGACGTGGCAAAGAGGCTAAAACAGGGGCTACAGGGACAGGCAGAGATGGTGAGAAAGCAGGCCTCCCAGGGTGGACATGGTAAAACAGCCCCGAGGATTTGGCACACACACCAGGCCCACTGGAGCACACTGCTGGTGGATGATGATGGTAAATCAGACAGAAAACATACAAGGGGGTGGTGGGGAGGTGGGGATGGGGACTGTGTTCACAGTACCCACAGAGTGAGATACTGATTTCACAGTACTACCACAGAGAGGGACTGTACTCACAGTACCCAAGACCTGTGCTCATAGTATCCAGAGGGACTGTGTTCACAGTACTTCTAGAGAAGGACTGTACCCAGAGAGGGGGACTGTACTCACAGTACCCACAGAGAGAGGGGCTGTGCTCA